TCTTTCGCCAGGCTCTCCCTGCTCTGGATTGTATTTTTATGGTATTCCCTCTTTGTCTTTTGCATTGAAGCAGATTACTACTCTTGACTTTCCTCAATGTTGGTTCTTGACTGCCTTTCACATAATCTGCCAATGCATGTTTCTCTTCTACCATTTGTTTCACTTGCAGAAGCCCTCTGCCTCCTGATTTTCTGGGCAGGTAAAGTCTGTTGACATCACTACGCAGGTGTAATGAGTAGTGGATTGTCATCAGTTTTCTTCTTTTGCTGTCCAAATCATCCAGCTCTGCTTGTGTCCAGTTCACAATTCCAGAAGTGTATCTGATTATGAGGATGTCCCAGGTGTTGATAGTCTTGGTCATATTTTCGCCATTTAATTTGCTCTTCAAAATCTTTCTGACCCTTTGGACATATTCTTTGGTGACCACATTTTTCACATGCCCATGCTGCTATTATTATTATTATTATTATTATTATTATTATTATTATTATTTCTTACCCACCTCTCCTCGTAACTCAAGGCGGGCTACAACATAGTTAAAACACAGTCATTGTAAGTATTCTATAAAATACACATGTTAATATGTATATATGTATTTCTATAAAATACACATATAAAAATGTAATTCATATTAAAATACACGGAACAAAAATTAAAACACAGGATGTGAATTTAAAATTCATGATTAAAACTAGCAGGGTAGGCCTGCCAGAAGATATAGATCTTCAGATGTGTATAAGTTCCGTCAGCACATTTAGCTGTTGGATCTCTTCCGGCAAGTTGTTTCACAGTCTAGGGGTGGCCGATGAAAAGGTTCTCTGGGTGACAGTTGCCAATCGGGTTCTGGCAAGCTAGAATAGCGGCGCTCCAGAGGATAATCTAAGTGTTCGGGGTGGATTGCATGAAAGAAGGCGATCCTATAAGTAACCTGGATCCAAACCATATATTTGTGCCAGTTGTTGATGGGATGAGGATTTTATGTATATTTTTAGGGTTATATTTTATTGTCTTCAACTTTGATAGTATACCTTTTCATGGTATTCCCTTTGGTGGAAAGGACGTGTGTAAGTTCTGTCACAACACACATTATTACGTAATAATAATATAATAATGATAAGCTTTATTTATATCCCACCCCCTCTCCAACAGGACTCGTGTGGCTTAAAAAAAGAAATACAAGACCAAAGCAAGAATAAAAACATAATACATAATGACAAAAAAATTTAAAAAAATAGCAAACTAAAAATAACAATATCATAGTAAAATACATAGATACAATTTTTGCTCAATTTAAAAACATATTGTGCACCAGGGCAAAACCAGTTCAAGCCAGTTGGTGTTTGTACAGCTATAAAAAAAACCACTATCATGATAAGTTATAGTTTTTCCGAATGCCAGTTTCCACGTCCATGTTTTCAATTCTTTCCTGAAGGTAGCTAGAGAGGGGGGATATCTGATTTCTTTGGGAAGGGCATTCCAGAGCCGGGGAGCCACTACCAAGAACGTTCTTTCCCACGTTCCTACCAGCCATGCTTGTGAGAGTGGTGGGACCGTGAAAAGGGCCTCCCCAGAGGACCTTAAGGCCCAAATGGGTTCATAAGGGGAGATGTGATCACGTAAATAGGTTGGATTCAAATCATAGAGGGCTTGAATTGAGTAGTTTTGCAACTTCCATATTCACCTAGGAGCTGCTATGATGTTACAACATATGGGCATTTACTGCACAATAGTAACAAATGGAATGACTATTGTGCCATGGCCCAATGTGAAATGGCCTCTGATGCATATCAGGGAAATCCCTATTGCACATTTGGACACCAAGTAGGAAATTCCAGAGCAATATACCTCAAAAGTGCCCAATGAGCACTGGAGCAATCTTGGAAGTCACTGCCAGATATTTGTGAGTCACTACCAGAGTTTCAGGAACCCCCGGTGGCACAAAGTGCTGAGCTGCTGAACTTGCTGACTGAATGGTCGCAGGTTCGAATCCGGGGAGCGGCATGAGCTCCTGCTGTTAGCTCCAGCTTCTGCCAGCCTAGCAGTTCGAAAACATGCAAATGTGACCAGATCAATGGATACCTCTCCAGCAGGAAGGTAACAGCACTCCATGAAGTCATGCTGGCCACATGACCTTGGAGGTGTCTACAGACAACGCTGGATCCTTGGCTTAGAAATGGAGATGAGTACCAGCCCCCAGAGTCGGACATGACTGGACTTAATGTCAGAGTTTCAATGCAATATGACAATGAATCCACAATGTTATAAAACATGCACTGTAATGCAGAATCACAGCCAAAGTTTTTAGAGGTTGAGGCTGTCGTGTACACCTGCTTGTCTCTTAATGTAGTGGGGGGTGGGAGACGAAACACTTTCAGCAAAACAGCAAAAGCTACAGAAAAATAGTATGTAGTTAGTGAACAGCAACTTAAAGAAATTACAGAGTTTTAGAAAGTAAATTTTTAACTACAATTCCAAGTATCTCCCAGTCAGGATGGCCAAGTTTCTTTTTCCAGGACCTGGCCTTTCAGTATCAAAGGAAATACACAAAAGTATGGTGGCCAATTTGTGTCACACTGGCTCTTGTGTGTAAATTGGCAGGATGGAAGAAACTGTCCTATACAAAGGACAAAGTCTCAAAACAGCCTCACCTACAGATATGATTTCAATTTCTTTCAAATTATTTTGTTTTTAACAGGCTTTTTAACTTAATTATTTAGTTTGCTTCTAATCCTTTTAAAATAAATTTTATTATTCAGGTAGTTTTAAATGTCAGATTGGTTTTATTGCATGCATCATGGGATAACTGGATAGAAGGAAAGATATAAATATTGAAAGGAGGGAAGACAAATCAGAACAGTAAAGTGGCTCGAATGTGCCAGAACTGCTGAAGATTGGCACTGGACTGAGGAAAACGCACGCAATCAGGTTCTCCTCCTTCACTTTAGTGCTTGGCATTATAGCCACTCTCTAGCCTGTTGAGATGTTTGAAATTGTTTTCTAATGTACAATACTATTGATTCAAGCTTTACGGTTTCACTCACCCACACTCCAAAAATTATTTCCCATCCACCCCAGAAGTGTTTGTGGGCCTCTCTAGATATTCCAGTGAGAGCCTATAGTATAGTCAAAATGTGTAGGTATCCACTAGGCTTGGTTGATCCAAAAAAAATGGTTCAAAACTAATTTCGGATGTAGGGGGCGCTGGTGGTTCAATCCTAAAGTCAATTCCAATTTTCACAGGAAAAAAAATCAAAACTTTTTGAAACTTCCAAGACTTCCGAATCCTTTCATTAATGGTTTGAAAGTGTTATTTCCTGTTTCATTGGGTGGTCTTTACTTTGAAAGTAGTTGAGCTGAGGCCAGGGACCAGAAGCGAGGGAAAGCAAATTCCTTCCTTTTCTGGTTTAAAACTGGCTTCTCTGGCTTTAAAACTGGTTTCTCTGGCTTGAGTCGAGGCCAGGGACCAAAAGCGAACATTGCAAACCAAAAAGACCTACCTCACTGTAGCAAACTGGACCGAAGTCCTTGTTAGCATCGTAGCCTAATGTTAACAGCTTAGAAGTGTTAACAGCAGTATCCTTAAAGACCTGACTTGTATTTGTGATCTTCTTGGGTACTTTTCTCATTAGCTTTGCTGTTTGAGGATGGGAAAAGGTATCAAGGCTAGGAGCAGATGAAGGAATGAATTGTTCTCTTCCCATGTCAGTTGTAGTCTTCACAGCTATTGGGGGGGGGGGTTCAAGATGGGTCATGTTTGTACACTGTAATGCTCGTTGCCCAACATCCCTCACCTTGAGGGTCCATCCTAGCGAAAGCTCCAATTATGTCCAGCAACTGGGATTTAATTTCCAGTTGTGGGAAACTGCATAATTTGTCTGTGTGTTATTCGTCTGGAGGCTCAGTTCTAGTATTGACTATAAGAGGATGGTGGCCTCCATCAGTAAAATACTGGAATTCTTTGTATTAAGATATCCCATTCTCCTCCAGGGGTAGGACAGAGGTGAAGGTTGCTATCTTGGTGGTATTGGGCTTCAGACTTCTCATGCAAAAAATAATAATAAAAGAGTAGCCTTATATGATCTCTGTTCACGTCATGGTGTTTGTACTGGTACCAATGCCAGAACATTCTCACTATGTATTTGTACGCCTTATTCATAGAGGGCCTCCATGAGGCCAAGTTTTTTGCTAGCTTTTCCAAGTACCCATAGTTTCTCAGAGCAGTGTTTAAAAAGCCATGTGCGAATCTGGAGCCACTCCGGATAGACCAGCAGACCTGGTCTGGTTGGTAGACTGTCAACTGCCAGACTAACTATCTTGAAGTACCATGGCCATGTGGATGCTTTGGTTCTCAGCTTTCTCAGCAGCCTGGTTAGGAGGACTGTTTTAATTTGACAAGAACCAGGTTTGACATATATGTTCCCCTTTCTTTGCCTCACTTTGACCTTACCCTCCACTTGCATGTAAACTTTGGTACTCAGAGGATATCTAAATAAATGAAGGTGTGATGGCTAGAATGTCTGCTAACAGTTTATTTTTGTAGCATACACATCCAAGACATTTACATTATAGAATAATGTTTTAGTTCTTAGCCAGTCATTGCAAGTGGTCTCCACAGGTACTGAAATGCTAAGGCAGTAGTAGAGTATTGATCAATATTTCAACTAGTAGTCTTTCCACTTAAGGGTAAGTGTACATGGACCCATCTCATTCAGCTAGCCTGCTGCAATGCAACCTGAGCCCTGCCACATGCACAATGGAGGACCTCCTTGTGGCAACACCAGAGGCACTCCAAGTAGACAGCTACTGGTCAAAGGACATTTAATCAACTACCAAGCTTGCAAACTTTGTGGTTTGTTTGTTAAAAATGCAATGCAACTGTCTGGTCTGCCCCTGACACAATAAATAAATAAATTCAGCTAGCCACTACTATTTGGTATCAAACCAATATAAGAATATGTGCTATCCTGTATTGAAAATTGAAAAACAGAAAAGAACCGACAGGGTTTTTTTGGCTTTTATTACAAGCATATAATATTAATTGGCAGAACACTGAATACAAGCTTCACTATCATAAAATCAAAACATTAAGCAATAACCCCCCAAAGGCTTATTCAGACAAAAACTTGCCACCAAAAGTACAAAAGTTACACAGCAACACAAAGCATTAAAAAAAAACTTTTAATGTAAACTTTCAAATGAAACCAAGCCAAAAACATGATTTTTTTTTAATATGGCAAGAATGTTCAGTAATGTTATTATGCCATACAGTGAGGATAAAGGCTTAAACAGCTGCACTGGCTTATTGTTCCATAACCCTAAATGTATCTGTTGCAAATGAATTGTATTCCTGACCTTTGTCCTGTCATTTGGCTGTTATAATTTGAAACAGGACTTTTCTGCAGCAACCCATACCCAGTGCATCTTGCTTGATTTACCTCGTGCAATTAATAGGCTTGTTTGTGTAAAGCATAATGAGGCTGCATATGCATCTTTGATAGGTTCAGTGTTCATGGATATCAACAGAAATCTAGACAGATGCATTTGGCCACATTACACAGTCAGCAACAGACCAAGGCATCTACCAAACCCTGATCTGGGAACCCAGTTATTCAGTGAAGAACATCTAAACACTGGGATAAAGGGTAAAAGAGAGGCGGGCAAGACAGAGAGCCCTTAATATTTCTCCTACCATATTTTCTTTGCAGTCTCCCATCCCCATTCAAAACAGAGTAAGGAGGGAGGCGATTGTGAAGTCACGTCTTCCAATGCAAAATGCTATCCTTCAGAGCCAGGTCTGCTGCCAATTGTGTAGATACAGCCTTTCTAAGCCATATTCAGCTTCCGCTTAGCAAAGATGAAAGAACCTCAAGCTCGAATGACATCTGCCAATTTTAGGGTTAGAAACAAATTCCTGGAGAATGTGTATTCTGCCGTCACTTTCCACTACCATAGGAAAGTGTGGTTCCAAGCCAACTGTGTGTATTTTAAGAAAAATGTTGTGTTCCCTGTGCACATTTTGACTACAAGGTGAATATATCCACTTGCAATTCTGACATGCAATGGTCTGCTAGTGTGCCCCATCTTTTCACATTTTAAATCTGAGGTCACACACATACACACAAATATATGAGAAGTTAAGGTATCGTGTGAAGTGTTTAAAACCAGAGCAATTACCTGAGGAAATACAGAAACACGGTTTTTCTGTCAAATACAGTTTTAACCGTTTGCAGGAAATGCATTTCTTACCTACTGGTTAAAGTATAAAGTTATCAAAGAGTCATAGTCTAGATGTACAAACGGGTTGGCTTTCTCCTGTTGCATTTAAACATACAGCTCAGTTTCAAATAACTGCAAATAGGCTAAGTTTGCAAATAGATTTGTCATCCATTGGAAAAGAAACAGGAGTGTGAATCTCCCAAGACTGATTAGATTGTTATGAAAACAGTAAGAGCCGGGTAGGGTTTCAAAGGCCCAAATAGTGTAGAAGAAACAAAAATTAGCACCATCATAGTTTGTAGTCTGATATTTTTTAAACTATTTGTATTTTTCTTCCCCCGGAGGTTAAATGTTTGCATCTGGAGCATTGCACAACCACTAAGAAATAAATATTTCCAGGTTTAATGGTATACAAAGAGAGAGAAATACCAGACATACCAATGGCACACACATACATTTCTGATAGGCTGCAAGCCTTGCCAATTACATTTCACATTTAAGAGTTCTTGCCAAACCATCTTTAAAATATTGCTGACAGGTAATCCTTGCACACAGACAGAACTCCCAAATGTCATTCTTTAAAATAACATTTTAAAAAACCAGGAAGGTGGGAAGGGGGAAATGTGGTTAGTAGATGCTACATTTACCATTTAAAATGTATGCCTAACAAAAGCATGTTTCAAACCTATTGCACAAAAAGCATAAAGTAATGCTCTTTATCCATACAAAATAAAAACATACCAAAAAAATCGATCAAGGCCAAACTAAATGTTGCCCTATATAAGTAGTTGCCACCAAATGCAAAAATGGCTGCATGTTCACCTTTACTCTAGTATATCTTACCCAGGTCTCAGGTTATATCATCCTCAATATTTCTGTTCCTCAACAGCGTTTGCCACAGGAAGAGGATAAAGAGATGCAAAATGTCAGGACATCAAACCAGAGATAATTTACAGTGTGGGGCAGAGAGCTAGACACATGACTTTTAGTAACAGCCACTCATGTAGTGCAACATCTGATTTGGCCTTCACCCAAAAAAAAAAAAAAGAAGCTTGTAAAAAACATCTCACAATTTCATTTTATATGCCCATAAATAAAGCTGGACCATAGAAACAAAAAATACTTAGATGGTAAAAAGTATGATAGAAGGCTTAAAATAGAATAAATAATTTTATAAAGTTAACTTTCAACCCCCCAACCTTATTTAAAATTCAATATTATATATTCTGATTTCTCTATTTTAAAAGAAAATTATATCAAGCGAGACCATAAACCTGTGTTGTTATGCTCACCTCTTTGTTGCTGAGGATAATGCAACAAGACAATTTTACTGCATTTATTTACCAGCGGTAAGCAGTCCAAAAGAAAAAGAAACCAAGAAATAAAAAAATTTAAAAAATGACTTCACAGTTATTTTATATATCATTTTAATCAACCAACACAAACTCAGTGGCGACCGGAGGAGGCCCAAGCCACTTGAGTGGAATACGATTTGAAGACCTTAAGCCAGAAAGATCAACAGAATGCTTTGCCAACATAACCATTGTGAAACCTGTCCCTTAAAAACTTCACAGAAGAGAGACAATTTCTATCACAAGGATCTGCTCTGTTGGTATTCACTGTAGGTTTTTTTTTTCCTGATAAGACAAGCCAGCTAGGTCTTTGAAACAAACACACCTCAAGGGACACAGTTTCCATAGAAAAAGAAGTATTCTGAGAAGCTGTTTTGAAAAAGAAAGAAAGAAAAACCAAGTATTTTCTGTCAAGGATGTTTTCATCAGGTTGTTATAAAAGCAGAGATAAATACTCATTTAAGAGCAACAAAGCCAGCATGGGTGTCAAGTGCTGGCTTTGGTTTCAATGCACCTGACTAGATATATATTTAAATATATTTATATAGCACCGTATCAAATTCAAGTGATTCAAAAATTTGCTAGAAACTTAGCAATACAGATTCTGTAGACTGTTGCAGTCAAGAGTTGCGGGGTTGTAGTCTGCATCATGATACTATTTAATCCCTCAGCCCAAGGTACACAGGATGCTGTCTGTATTCAGTATTTCAAGATGGCATTGATCGTACAGTTCATCTGTGTATCTAGTCTGAGGTAGAATGGATAGTTGGATATGGGCATTAAGCACTCCAAATGCTTAACTGAACCAAGGGAGTATTAGACAGGGTCACCAAGTTTAAGGCTCACTAAGACGTGTTAGCCAGGATGTTTGCACATAGCACCACGCGGCCGGTGAACTGGGGCAGAAGCAATCCTTACATTTAAGACTCTGCGACTAAATGTGTTCCGTAGAGAGCTCCAAATTCTATGACGCTGCAGTTTTTCATTAAACTTTTTTTTAAAGATACTTTTTGAACATTACTTTCTCCTGACATAAACCACCATTTATTATAAAAAGATGATGTAAGAGCTAGAAATATTTTAAGGGCACTTTCTAGTGGAACACTGTCCAGCACATACCGTGCTGAAATGAATGGGATCACAACAGTGCAATTGCACTAATCACATTCATTGAGAAATCACTGTCCCATAAAAGATGGGTAAACACCCGAGGCATTTAATGTACTATTTCCAAGTTCCATTAATTTCACCAGGACAGTCCAGAGCACCCTATGTCTGTGTTTCCCCCTTGAATGTTCATCCCAACATTTTGAACTTGCTGCTATTTGGCCCTCCTTTTGACTTCCTCAATTTTCACTTATTTACGTTTGCCTGTATGGAATTAAGCATAAAGAAGTCACAGAACTCACCTTGGACACAAATGCTACCAGCGGACACATGTGCTGACAGGAGGAGCCAGAAAAGCAAGCTTAAAGGGTGGTGACACTTTGGAAAAGGTTGATAATGATTTTTTACTCCTGGAGATGCAATGGAAAAAAGGACTAAGAAGAGAAACCCTTGTATAAGGGAAAAATAAAACACAGGTGTATGTAAGGGTACATGCAGCAGTGAGTGGGCCTATGCACATTCTTGGCTGTAGTTCATGCTGGACCAAATAATGGATTAAATAAAGGAAAGGGGGTGTTGTAGAACTTTTGAAGAAGCAATCCCTTTTTTAAAAATCTCAAATTGCTTAAAGTAAAACAGCATTTATCTTTTAAAGTTATTTAGTCCTCTGTTGGATGACCACTTAAAAAGCTCAGGCTTGACCATGTGTCCCTAGAAAGCTGGATTTTTATTATTATTAATACCGCTTTTCTATTGGAGATAAGGCTGAGAATTCAGATCCTAAATAAATAATCAGGCAAACATAAAAGTATAATTCAGGGAAACCTAGAAAACAGCAGAAAGGTCAACCTGTTAATGCACATCACAGAAAGTGTGGTGCAGCATTAGCATAGTGTGTTTTTCAAAGGAACACTACTGGAATTTAGGTGATTAAGGCTGCCTCCAACATATTTCATTTACTGAAAGGCAAATTCCCCAATCTAATAGCTCCCTCAGCTCTGTAAGCCACATATATCCTAAATGAAGGTTCCTTCTTAATGCTCAGCACTTTTATGTGAGCTGATAAAAACTGCAACAGAACAGAATGAGATAAAACTCTTCCAATAACCTCAGTCAGATGAACCTGCAGAAGAATACAAGAGCATAATCCAGAATAGCGTCATGCAGCAAAATCACTGCCAACTATTAGATCTTTGTCAATGTAAATATTCTACAGAGGGCTAACTAACAGACAAGAAGGCTATGAGGTATAACAAACAGAAAACCTTGCAAAAATATGCCACATCTAAGTTGTGAAGCAATCTAACCGTTGTTTGGTGACAAACAATCTTAAACAATATCTTAATCTTAAACAATCTTCTTCACATCTTAAGTCTATTTTATATCTTTGCAAGATGATGACCATGAACTAAGGTTCACATGAGAAGCCATGAAGCGTTTTCAGTGTCTGTAAACTTCATGCTGGTAGCGTCCTCTCAAATTACAATTTCCATTTTTGTTTTTTGGTAGAAAAAAAGTATAAATATTTTTCTATCCAGAAAGTTAGGTTAACGCATCCCTCAGAGAAAGATTCAAGATGGCTGACCGGGCGAGCACAGCTTTTTTCAGGAATGGATTCTGCTGGTCTGTGTCTTGGGTGAACTGTGTGATGCACTAAGAAGGTGCCCAATGATAGTCTCTGCAAAAAACTGTCCAGAAGGACAAAACAGTTCTTACAGCAAGTCCATTTTGGGTCTGTAATGTAACAGTAGAGGTGCTTTCTGAAAGATAAAATAACATTCCTGGTTGAGGAAATGGCTATTTCAATCACGGCAGTTTAGAGAAGATAAGAAACATAGCACAGTGCATGTATTAAACTTGACACTAACTTAAAAACTACTGATGGCCAATGTCTTTAGTATGAGAAGAAAAGTTTTTTGTAAGCTGAAGTACCCCTACAATGTTTATATCTCCAAAGTATCTGTCTGGGAGCAGGTCTGAACTCTCCAGCCTGGAAAATTGGCAAGTACTCTGCCATTTTATGCCCAACATGAAGATACAGAAAAAACTTCACATTAGCACAATGTGTCTGGAGACTCTTCCCCATTTTCACTAGGTAGAAGATGTGCCAAGTTATACAACCCAGAAAAATTCACACAGACAAGGATATATGACAGTCCCAAGGAATCAAAGCCAATGCAGCCCTCGGGCCATCAATTGGTTATCCCTGATAAGAATGACAAAATAAAAGTCTAAAACTCAAGCTAAGATGTTAAGTCCATCAATCAGCAATGTTGCCAATTAGTTTCTGGACAAAATAAAAAGTATTGGTTTTGACCTTTAATGCCCTACATGGTTTGGGTCCAGGTTACCTACTGGATCACCTTCTCCCATACAATCCACAGCTTAAGACACTGAGGCCCTCTGGGAGGTGTCTACTCCAGCCTCCAGAAACCGACTAGCCACCATCATTCAGAGGACCTTTTCATTGGCCACCCAAAGAAGAGCGTGGGATGACCTGCCAGAGCCCCAACAACTAAATCAACTGTTGAAATTTAAGACACAGCTGAAGACCCATCTCTTCCAGCAGGCCTGCCCGGTCGATTCTAAGTTCAGAGTGTTAATCTGCACTTCATCAGTGGATTTTAACATATTTTAAGTCTGTGTATCTTGTTGTATGCATTTTAATAGTATTTTAACAATGATGTAACCCACCTCGAGCCGCAGGGAGAGGTGATAATATATTATTATTATTACTATTACTATTATTATTATTATTATTATTATTATTATTATTTTACTTACCTTAAATCTCCATCTTGTAACAACTACAAATTTGAGAGTGTGGTCCTTGCCCAGAATTTCTTCATTGCATAATATATCCAGCTAACAAAAACAAAAAGTACTTAGTTCTTTGATCAAACAGTTCAGTTTAACACTTCCAAATTATGACATGATTAAGATAAAATGGCAGCCTAAAGACAAAATTGTTGATATCACCAAATTCCCTTGCAGGCAAAGTACACGTGTCTCCTCAAAGAATCCTACAAGGTTCCTATGGATACAAATCAGAAATCTTTTAAAGTACAGTAAACTCATCAAGAGTGAAACCTCCAAGTAACAGGAGGACTTAATATAACAAAGCTGGCAGATACACAATACTTATATCCTACCACAGAAGTAGCAGTTGTATGGAGTAAGACTTCCAGACTTAAATGGGGTTGTTCAGACTTGCTTCGGGATTTGTAGAACTTTAGTTTCACTCTTTTCTGCTGATGTGCAGAAAAAATAAATGTTTGCTTGAGATCTGTCTACAATAGGTGCATGTCTTCATCTTTATGGAAAATAATACCTGCACCTGTTTTTTATTTTATTAAACTGAGTTATATGCTCATAGCATGCCTGCTGAAATGATCTTGGAAAAAAGGAATGAGGGAATGACTTATTAAAACACTTGAGTATTAGTGGGTTTACAGATAGGGTTGAGTATGAAAAAAGGAACCAATAAAGATTTAACTGCATATAGGATAAACACTACACGGCCCCCTTCTAGGTATCCAACTCAGCAAGAACAAAAAGACACTCACTGAACAAACACAGTACAATAACAATTTGTGACAAAATTCATCATTAGTTCTCTGATGCTTAGCTTTCATCTAGTTTGAAAATAGTTGTCTAGATTTTTGATTACTATTATCCCCAACAATGCAATGTATGGTCCCAAAATACTCAGCATTTCAGACATCTTGTCTAACTGAAAGCTATTTGTACCTTTATCTACTATTTTTGCTGCAGTAGTTACTTCTACCTGACCTGGATTATACTGGCAGGTCACAACCCGAAGGTGCTGCACTACAATGTGCATAGAGTTAAATCATCCTGTAGTCCCCTTCTCAAAATAGTGACAGGAGTCACTTCTCCACACCATTTTATGAGGGACTTTATAGGGGGAAACAGAAATATCTGGGCTTATGGAGGGGTGGGAGTGGCCTTGGAGGGCTGAGGAAAGTGGCCCTTACCCTCTCATGCAGTTGTTTTACATTGCCCTATCTCCCAGTGTTTTGAAAATTTAATCCTTGAATTTGGCCCTGCCCATGATGATCATTCTTAATGTAGTAAAGAAATGTCGTAATGTTTTGACTTTTTATTGTTGTGTCGCTTATATAAATTGGTTTTGTATTTTAGGTTATTTTATTTTTTTGATTTTTGTTGTGTTTTTGTGTTATATTTTGTATATTGTATTGATGGGTGTGGCCTCATATAAGCTGCCCCGAGTCCCCTTGGGGAGATGGTGGCAGGGTATAAATAAATAAATTATTATTATTATTATTATTATCCACCTCAGTTCTAACGGAAAGGTATCTTACTTCCACTATTAAAGGTACATCTGACCAAGGAGTGCCCTCTCTTCTCGGCACACCAACCCAGCTGCTCTGCCGAGAGGAGAAGCTGCATGCCTTCCTCTTCTTCCCTCTCAGCACATTTGCTGCATTTCCCACCCTAGGCTTATACTCGAGTCAATAAGTTTCCCAGTTTTTTGTGGTAAAATTGGGTGCCTCGGCTTATATTTGGGTCAGCTTATAATCGAGTATATACGGTAGTACTGCAATATAATAACAAGTATTATCATCATCATCATCATCATGCAAATTAGTATCCTTTGAGATCTAATTTAAAGTTCATATCTCATTTCATTCCAATCCATAAAACTCATCCTTAAAAATGAGTGTTACTAGTAGAATGCCAGATGGCTTACTGAAACCATAAAAGACCTTTTTAAAAAATACATAGGTTATCAAATTAGTTGGATGAAAAATAGGGGGCACAAAACAGAACACCAATCCATAAAATACAAACAGATTGTGTGATTATGTCCAGGAATTATTTCAATTAATGGCAAAGAATTTTTCAGTGGACACACATTATGACAGAGATTATTTTTGAACCATATGCTTTGAAACTCTGTTTGTGTGTGTTGGTGATCACAAATCCTCTGGACTCTAATACAAAATAAAACACTTGACATCAAGCAGTTGGTGTGTTGCAGTTTTTTTTCAAAGCAGGTTTCTTCAGATACAGAGAAAAGCCTGAAGGTACCATGCTTGTTTAGAAGATTTCAGTAGTTGGGGGGAATTACTACCACCTACTCGAGGTCCCCTCACAACCACGTGAGGCACAACCAGAAATGCTTCAACTGGAAACTGAAGATGAAGGAAGCACAGAAAGGTACATTTTTATTCTTATGGATTGTTTCACTGAGTGACAATATATAGCAGGCTAACAATATTTTATTAAAAACAACAACTGACACCTTTAAGGGGATGTTTAATGCACAATCATTTCCTATTAGGTGGGTAGTAAACTATTGAAATTTCAGAAGAAAAAGAAAACCAACAAAATCGTTAAAAGCCTCAGTGAACATTTTTCTTTAGAAAATGTTTTTGAGTGAGTTTAGTCTCATGAATTACCTCATTAAATGAAGAAAGATTAAGTTTTTTGGCAATGAACTTCTTTAGATGCAAGACTGTAGCTTGTGCAGAGCAGCGAATCCATTTTCTCTTTAGTCCACGTAATTTGCTGCTGTTGCATTCCAAGCAGATGCTTACCTTTAGAAGAAAGTAAATAGCCAATATTTGTTAAAATGCACCCCCTTTGAGTCCTCCATTTGCAACAGTAAAATCAGAATGAAGAGCAGTGTGCACTAAACAAGGGTTTGTTTTATGTAAAAAGCAGAACACTATCTTTGAACACAAAACTAAAGACTCAATCTCTGACACCTTTAGTAACAAAAGGGGGGAGGGGATGAGAGAGGTCTCTCTACCTTGAGACTAGTGCAAGGAAGCATACACACACTAGATCAGGGGTAGGGAACCTTTGGCCCTCCAGCTGTGGTGGACTTCAACTCCCACAATTCCTTGAGGCTCGGCATTGGGCCAAGGTAAGCCTTTGGGGCGAATGCCGAGCCTCAAGGAATTGTGGGAGTTGAAGTCCACCACAGCTGGAGGGCCAAAGGTTCCCTACCCCTGCACTAGATGAATGAATAGACTAATGGCAGTATAATGAATCTTCCTGTGTTCCTATGGTAAACACTTCCACATGGCTAAGACACAAACTGATGTTTACTGCATAACTATAGTATGTAATTTGAACTCCCCACCATCCCTTCAAAACTATATAGTTTCCTACAATGATTGTGGTCTATAGTAAGTTCAGCTGATCCCTCAACTGAAGTTTCAGGTTCTTTCAAAGAAACTAAAGAATTGTATTGTCGAAGGCTTTCACAACCAGAATCACCTGGGTATTGTGTGGTTTCTAGCAGCAATTCCTCCTGACATTTCATCTACATCTGTGGCTGGCATCTTCAGAGAATCCACAGATGTAGGTGAAATGTCAAGAGAAAATGCTGCTAGAATATGACCATATTTATTTATTTGCTTTATTTCTATGCCGCATTTTTCAGCCCTTGACAGGCGACTCATACAACCCGGAAACTACACAACACCCCAACTAAAGAGTTGTCCATGCTGAAAGCTACCTATCAATTCTAGGGCCATTTCCCCCAATAGTTCCTGACAATCTGGATCTAAAGAATCTCTTATACTGCCTTTTAGCACCTTCTGTGATCCATGAATGTAAAAAGATGAATAACAACTGAAAGTTATACATGTCATGGTATTAGTTATGCCCAATTCCAAATATCATAGAGATCACTTCACATAGTAGCTACTTCAAACCCTAATATTACCAACTGGACACTCAAACAAAAATAGAAAGTATTTCATCTTATTAATAAAACGTGTAAAAAAAACTATTTGGAGATAAATACTTTAAATAAATAAATAATTCTTTTTTAAAAAAGTGTAAATTAGAGGTGGAGTAGCAAATTCCCTCTGGCGGCTACATTTTCCTGGCTGCTGAAGCCAGATTTCAAACGAGCTGGCAAGAACAAATTATACACATAGAAAAAGGCCTAAGAAAGAAAACCTACTACTCCAAGGCAAACAAAGAGCACACACATATACAATGCTTCTATTTAGGAAGGGAGTGCAGAACTTTTGTCCTATTAAGGCCCACATGATCATTTGCTTTGAATTAAAGCATAAGGTCGCATGTGACTGACTGTTCCCACCTTAAGGGATGGAATGAAAAATGCCTAAAATTATTGACCACAAAATTTTTCCATAGGTACCCACACTAGAAGGACTGCCACCTCCAAGGTGTCACATTCAATAAGCATCATGAGTTTTTCAAAACACATGACATGAATGTATGTCTTAAAAACAAATAACCCCATGGTGCCACTTCCAAAAACGTACACTTTGGGGGGGAAAAAACAATATTATCTCTGAACTCATCCTGCCACTCATGCTGTTGTTGCTGTTGTTGTTGTTAAGAATTCAAATGTCATTTTTATTACCTGTTCATCACTTCTGTGATAATCATTATCTTCTTCCTGTTTCTCTTCTGACGTTTCCTTGTTTGTATTCTCGTCTGCTTTTGTTTCCCCTTATGAAAAAAGCACAGAGCATCTGTGATGAAGTGGAAGTCTCTAAAGATACAAATTCACGTATGAAATAAAATGCAATCAAAAACCACAGCTCTTTAAAGGAGTCAGCTACATAGATTTCAAATCAAAAGCATAATATTAAGGATAATGCAAGCTAAACTGGTGAGATGCATTATGCCGGAGGTATTTTGCAAGAAACTTAGTGTCATAGAATCAAAACTTTGGGAGGATTACTAATTTATGGAGTTAAATAATTTTGCATAAACCACCAACAAATCAACTGGGTTTTCACTGTTTTTAATGTACAACAGTTAATCTGATGTGTTTAAGTATAACCCGCTAAATCCATGGCAGTTGTAGGCAGATGCATCTAAAGGGTGCCAGGTGCAGTAAGACTGATAAAATCTGTTTACTAGCAAACTACCAAAGCTCACATTTCTCTTTCCAACATGCTTTCATGGCTATTCCTTTTCACAACACCCACCATATTTCAAAATATGGCTGAAAGCTATACAGCAGCTTTCAAGCTGAAAGCTATGCAACACATAACTAATTTCCTGATTTGAACTGAAACATATGGACAATTAACATTTCTCTAAGAACAAGATAAGTAGACACCCCGAGATAAATCAAGGTTTCTTTTCCCATAAATCTCATGCACTTCCCACCTCTACAGATGCACAGTGCACACCTGAGTCATATGAAGAATGGACAAAAGATCCCTTATCTGCTAAAACAAAGGCTGTATTAAAGATTCTCTCTCATGTACTAAAGCATCTTACTTTTCCTGCAAGCAAGGGAAGACACAGGCATCTGGCGTGAGCAGCTAGGAAGACTCCAGCAAGAATTCGAGGTTTTTCAGCTTTTCACAACAGGGTACAGAGGACTACTGAGTGCTCTGTCATTCTCATGACTTGTGGAGGTACACATCAGAGACAAAACCTATACTATAAGTTTGTCAGCCCTTGTTCAGTTCATTAAAAATCAGTTATCAGTTTGGACTCTATATAATTAATATTTAAAGATTCAATATACTGAAATCCAACTCCAATATTCTGGTTATTATTTTATAAGAAAAATCAATTTTAAAAAAATCTTGCAACTTAGAGTATGACAAAGCTGATTATGAGACAAAGTTATGCTGATTTATCTCCTTGTCAAGCTTCTTGCAACATTGGTATTGGGCTTTGACAGACTGCTATGGCAGAACTCAGTTCAATCAATCCCTCACACACAGTCAATTTTAGGATTAGGACTGGCATTTATTTTAGAGCTTCCTCATATGGAGCAGTTTTGTTGAAGTGACACCCAGTTATTGGTACGGTTCTCAATAATGCAAGATCACATTCCTAGCCAGTGGGACACAATCAACTTGGTTTGATGGGTAGGAAGTTCCTACGCACATAATATACGGCAAAGATTTGATATCACAAAATGGCCTGCAGAGTAACACACAAAGTAAACTGCGAAAGGGACCTGCCTTTTCTAAACTTTTTTCATGTGTGTGTGTGTTAGAAGTGACTTGAGAAACTGCAAGTCACTTCTGGTGTGAGACAATTGGCAGTTTGCAAGAAGTACACCCAGGGGACACCCAGATATTTTACTATCCTGTGGGAGGCTTCTCTCATGTTCCCTCATGAGAAGTTGGAGCATTCAAACAGCCAACCTTTCATCAGCAGTCCTGCCAACACAAGGGGGCTCATTGCACCACCGGGGGCTCTGACATCTAAATTGATGTCAGAGCAGTACATAGTAATATTGAATAACGAGTACCACTGGCATGAAAAACCTCTCACACAAGCAATAGCAGTGACATTAGGATACCACTTGTGTTCTTTAACTAGTTATAGGATCTTCACTCTGTAGTCAAAGAGAGATTGCCTCCGCTGAAGCAGGCTCTTCCCACAATATGTCACTTAAGTGTTACAGCATTCCTTCTGGAATTGCAAGGAGACAAACATTGCTGGAATTTGCTTTGCTGCTGCAGTTCTCAGCACTGGGTTATTGACAACGAGGTCTATTACATGAGAGTCATTTCATCATTTCACTGGCAAGAGCTATCATTCTGAGACAGACTCACTGAGGCTCCAAAAACTCAAAACCACTTATTGATCCAGAAACCTTTGTCAAACCTGGCTTCTGCAAAGACTGAATGTTTACACCTAACAATATATGCCTATGAAAATGGTGGGGCCAATTCCTATACTACAGAAGCAGAAGGCCAAGAACTAGTAATGAAGGGGAAAATTATGAAGATTGTGATAAAGATAAATTTTGTTACAAGTACACAGCTCAGGAGGTTTTTAAATATAGTATCAAGCAGATAATCACGTATTCATAGTGAAAATTAATTTTCATCACAAACAGAGGTGTATATTTTGTTTAATAAACAAAACATAGGACAAGGTTGGGGATTTTGTGACGCTCCAAATACTGCTTAACTGCAGTTCCAAGTTTTCTTCACCAGTAGCTAAGCTTGCTGGGTATTGATTGAAAACACAGCACCCACTCTTGATACAGAGTGATCAAAAAAACAACACCAAAACATTCCAGTTGACAAGAAACAAAAAATGTTATCTTTCAGGAACATAATAATTCAGTGATACAGAAAACACAAGCAGTATCTACTTACCATTCCGATGGGCTTCTAAATGTTGCTTGGCTGAGCACATCTCCCCTTTGATGTCACCCGGCACTTCCATGCCCAGTTTGTGGTAAAAATCCCTCTGCTTTTTCATTTCCGCTGTTTAATATTTCAAAATAGTGTCTTTAGCTAATATCAAGTGTATCAACTCAAAGAAACAAATCTCTTAATTCTTTCAGAAAATGTATCAAGAGCACCCCCTAATGTCCAGCTGCTTTTCTGTAGTCATCTCATTATGAGACTTTGTTCTCCACCTTTATGAACTTCTAAAAGCTCTTTGGATCTTGTTTTAAAATACTTTCATTCTGTTTTGCATATCTGAACAGCTGCACATAGCAAGTCTAAGAACTGGGAGAGGAAAACTTAACATTTTTGTAAATATTTTATCCTCGACATAATGTTTGGAATGCAATTGTGTAATATATCTTTAAAGCAAATAAGCCTAAATATTAGTTTTTGTAGAAGGTTCTCTTTTTATCAAGGATGCATCACAATGGAAAAATTGTGTAACTTATATTTAGTAGCAATTCTCTAGATTCAGAAAGTATACTGATAAATTATAGAAATATTTGCATCAAAAGATTTGTTTCTAATATTTATTCAATTGATTACTATGAACCACTTGTATAATGAGGATAACATCTGGACATTTTCTGAAGATTTATGTAGTTTAATGTTTACAGGATAAATATTAAGAACGTCCTACATTTCTCCCTGGAATTTTAAAACTTTTAAGAATTGCATAAACATCAGAACTTCCCATAACTGTAATACTGTGTTATATTCAGCACCATGTGAGCCATCAGGCATTATGAATGTTTTTATGAACCAAATACACATTATGTTGGTCCGTATTCAGAGCAACCAAGATCACATCTCCTTAGGAGGAAGAGGTAAACATTATTCTCTCCAATAAACTGATCTCTTCAAAAAGTGATCTGAAGCCCAGGGAAAGGGGTTTGGCAGAGAGTTGGAACATCACCATCAGTGTATATTATAAAGCATATTCCAAAGCAACCAAAACCTGACACTATGTTGTACTATTCATTTTTACTTATAATAATATAAAAAGTAGAACTATGCCTCCACAACTACACATTGAAGTGTTGAAATGAGGAATGAGCATTTATTATTAGAGCATAATATTAACCTACCAGCTTGGAGATCTGGAACAAGTTTGTAAACAATATCTTGCATTGTTCTGTCATGACTGGAAAATGTTAAAAAGACAGGTTAAAGAGCTTCCACAAAGAATTCCTGTGCTGAAACTTTATTATCAGTACTGAATAACATCTACCTGAAGCCCCTGGGAGAAATTATCAAGAGTTTTGGGTTTCAGTATCATCTGTATGCAGATGATACCCAACTCTACTACTCCTTTTCACCTGATGTCAAGGAAGCAGTTCTGCACCTGTACTGCTATCTGGGGGCGGTGATGGACTGGATGAGGGTGAACAAGCTGAAACTCAATCCAGACAAGACTGAGGTGCTACTAGTGTCTCAGAAAATGGACCAGGGAACGGCATTTCAACCTGAGCTGAATGGGATTAAACGCCCCCTGAAATCTCAGGTCCACAGTTTGAAGGTCATCCTAGACTCCACTTTAAACCTGGAAGTCTAGATAGCAGTGGTGACTAGGTCAGCCTTTGCACAGCTAAATCTTGTGCACCAACTGCGCCAGTTCCTGGAGACATCAGACTTGGCCAGAGTGGTACATGCTATGGTTACATCCAGATTGGACTATTCCCATATGTTCTACATAGGTCTGGCCTTTAAAAGTATCCAGAAATTACAGTTCGTACAAAGAGCTGCGGCCAGGCTTCTAATGAGAGCTGACTTCAGGTAGCATACTACGCCTATCTTGAAGCAGCATCACTGGCTGCCTGTCCATTTCCAGGCTCAATTCATTGTGCTGGTTACCATATACGGCTTCAGTCCAAACTACCTGGAACACTGTGTCCCCCAATACACACCAGGGTGTGCACTGAGATGTAATGGGGAGACACACATTGGCGCACAAGCCCCTACTGGTATGTGTTTACGCATTACCAGAGAAGGTGCCTTCTCATGTGCAGCACCAGCCCCCTGGAACTCCCTCCCAGAAGAATTAAGAGTGGTACCATTCGTACTAAGCTTTCGTAGGGGGGTCAAGACCTTTCTATTCAAGAAGGCTTTTATTGAAACACAGTAAAATATCTGGGAATTTCAAAATCTGTGTATAGTGGGGAATCTATGGAGGAGGAGATCACGTATTTTATTTATTTATTTTATTGATCTCTGGCTGTTGTTTTGCCATGACTTTATTGTTGTACATATATTTTAACTGTTGGAATTTATTTGTTTTTATGCCGTGAACCACCTTGAGTAATTGGAGAAAGGCGGGATAGACATTTCCTAAATTAATCAGTAACAACAATAACAACAACAACAACAACAACAACAACAATAATAATAATAATAATAATAAATGAAGACAAAAACTTATAAAAATGTAGCTTTAACAGGACAAATGGGTAGTGTTTAAATCAATTTTATTGGGCTGAACAATCGTGTGATGAGAAATAACTTCTATGCATGCACTTATGAATCATCCGCTGTTTAGCAAGTAATTCCTAGCAGACCTCTATGCATATTACCTTTAACAGTATACTTACCCAATATATTGTAGTGGATGGCTCTGGTGTATAACTATCCTGCACGTGGGACAGGTATTATTTTCCTCCAAATATTTTACCAAGCAACTCCTGCAGACTGTTTACAGAAATATTTATAGTTAATATGATTCCAACAAAAAGGAAATGTTTTTACTCACCATTCAATTACTTGCAAAATTGCTTCATCAATTGCTAAATTAAATCCTATGTTTCAATGTATTCCATTTCAAATTTTAATGAGCACAGCAATACTTAACCGATACTCTAGCTTAATTTCTAGCACTCTCATCCCTTTTCATCTGAGATCTGAATTCCTCTTCAGATTATGCCACCACATTGGTAAGATCTGAGAAATGTTAATACAAATCCTTAGAAAATCAAAAGTTGTTTTAAAAAAGCTAATGTGAGTTTGACTGGAACTCTGCTTAAAATTAAGAAGAGTCATTCACTTGGTGGCAATCTCTTCAATGCAAAAAACCAACTTAAATTTGCTGTCTGATTATGAAAGAGCAATACCATTCTGAATTTATAGTCAATTTGAGATAATATTCAACAGTTCAATATAATTGGTTTAGGGCTATATGTAGTCACAACCAAGATGGTTTTTTAAACTGTTAGATTCTGATAATAAACAACAAGCTAAAGGCTATTCAATTTCATTATGTTAACATTTTATTCATGCTTTGATAAACATTTAATAAATGTTTTTATAATTGCTAACAATTTTGACCCTAACTCAAACACTGCCTCCTTCCATAATTGGAAATACTGCAACTCCTTTAAAAAGTTCATAGTACTGAAGTCTGGCTACCACAATTCAATGGTGTAATCTATACCTCACACAATTATACACATTTTTAGAATATAAGGTGCACCCCAATCAAAAGCACATCCTGAGATAGTATTTCATGGCAGCTTTGATAAAACACCTCAAGCCTACAAAGAAGCTTGAGGATGGGGGTGCAAAGAAAATGAGAACCAGTTGGCAAAAAACCAAAACAAACCCACATATAGCTGATTGCCTAATTTTCCTATTGCATCATGAACCAAAATATCAGAGTGAAGGTATTCATGAAAGTATTTATTATTTGCCAGTTTAGAGCAGATCAACCATTGTCTCATAGTGAACAGGGATAGGCAGTAAGGGAATGTGCATAAGCCATAGAGAGAATAGGGAAAGTGGACTGCAATTCACATCAGTACTAGCAAGCTCATCCAAAGGTAATGGAAACTGAGATTCAAGAATATTTGGTGGATATCATATTCCACATCCCATCACTGATTTAAACATATTTCTTTACTACTACATACAAAGTCTTCGTATCTTGGTGGCAAAGAGAAGACTTGTATCCATAAGAGAGCTAGCTCCTGGCTTAGATAGATCCTTCCTGGGGTTCTTCTCACAGAAAGTAACAACTGCTAGATTTTACATATATAGGCAGTTCCCAGATTCTGTAGGTTCTTTGTTAGGTTAAATTTATATGCCAGTCAAAACATGTACATTTGTATCTAAGTCAGAACAGGCGCTGCTGGCTGGCGCGTGACGAGAATGCCGTAATCCCCAGGGTGTAATGAGCAATGGCAAAAAGTGCAACCTTTGTAATTTGACCAAAAATGTGAATTACAGTTGCTGCTTACTTAGGGCCCTTTCACACAGCCATATAACCCAGAATATCAAGGCAGACAATCCACAATATCTGTTTTGAATTAGGTTATTGGAGTCCACATTGCCATATAATCCAGTTCAATGTGGATTTTATACAGCTGTGTGGAGGGGACTTCCACCAATGGAAAGAAAAACCAGAGAAATGGGTAGCCCTTCCCTCAAGGAGCCTCTCCTGTTTATCCTGCCTAAACTTCCTTAGTGCACAACGAATGCAGTTTGATGTTGCCTTAACTGCCCTGGCTCAATGCTAAGGAATCCGGGAGGCTGTAGATTTATACGGTTTTTAGCATTCTCTGCCAAAGAACACTGCTGCCTCACCAAACTACAAATCCCAGGGTTGTATAGCATTGAGCCACAGTAATTAAAGTGGTAACAGAGAGAAGGAAAAGAAATTGGGGGGAGGGGGAGAGCATACAGATACCAAGGAAAGGAAAGATACAGTCACACTTTGGCTCAGCACTAAGGTTTTGTGGGAGGGAGAGATGGAGAGAAGTCTATTCATAACTAGCAGTCATACGTTGAGTCGGATGTTCATAACTGGCGGGCTGCCTGTAATATGAATTTTTCCACATTTATTATCTATCCCTAGGTGGGAACCAGAGGAGAAATAGGTGCCCACTATTTCACTCAACCAAACATGACAAAGCCAGAACAGAATAAAGGGGGAATACACAACGCAAAGCAGACCACATTTATATTCAAATGCCAGACTTAAATTGAAACTAACATTGTTATGTACTAAGATTCACTTGCACAAATCAATCTTAACAACAATAAATAAGGTCCAAATCCAATGCACTTCAAATTACTCAGTTATTGGACACAGTTGTTTTCATACTCACAGGTATGTAAGCATTCCGTTACAGTGGTAGCGTCAATAAGATAACCATTGCAAAGACGGCAGGTTATATGGGCATTGATGTCCCAAAGCTTAATCTTCCTTGTCAGCATCTTTGGTGTCTGTAAGAAAATTGGTTAATTTAGATATTTGACTCCCACAATAAACCTGTGAAATAGTAAAAGACAAGCTAACAAGATATTCATTAACAGGAGAATCCAGAATAATGAAGTCGTGTAACTACGCAACCTGAAATCTAACTACAAAATGAACTCCATATTTAGTGTTTTGGACCTAATCCAGCACAATTACTTTGCAACAACATTTGCAGCGTTCTATGCAACCAGATTTAAACAAAGATTAGTTCTCAAAAATAGCAGATTAAGTGAATGAACTGTATCCCTTCAGACAGTAGGTGGAAGCGGTGATGTAAACTGTAACCGCTTCCAGAAAATGTTTGCGTTGCTATCATTTTTGACACAAAATGTATCATTTTCGAAATCTGACATTTTCAGATTACTACATTCGATATAAATGCACCTGAGTTAAGTTTCAAGTGCTTTCTGGGGGTTTTCTGACACTAAGAATGTATGAATGTATGTTCTATTGTCGTGCTTAGAAATATTTTAGAAATATTTAGAAATGTAATTAAGAAGCAAAGCTTTAAATACACATAGTTAAAACTACAAGGAATGCCCCTTATTTCTGTTTCCAAAAACATTTACCAGTAGAATTCCTTGTTCCATCTAAAATTGGGATTGTGGACTCTTTTGATCTATTTATATAAGATGCAAGATCGACATGCTGTTTTCCAGAAAAGCTTCTAAAAAGGTTCCAAATTCAAAACAAAAAACCGAAACTTCATGTAGGACAAGAGCCTACATGAAGATTCTTTTCTTATCCACCCCAGATCACCATTTTGCAGTTGTAGCCCTACACCCCATGCCCATGTACACACACAGAGACCATCACCCAGCCATTCAGTGGCAGAAAGAGGGTAGCTGGATTAGGAAAGCACCTTGCTACACACCATGAACCAGAAGCAGACTGATAACATCATTTGCTAAGATACGCCAGAGTCAAGATGATACAATCATTGTGTAGCTAAGTATGGGGATATGGCCAAACATAGCTATGATCTTGACCCTCTGCAACTGCCACTGAATGGATGGGATGGTTGGGGAGGGGGGAGCTGCAGTAATTAAACAATAAGACAGAGGAAGAGGACTTGGTAATCGTAAAGAGAAGAAAATATAAACTTTGGACTTATGCTGAAAAATTTTGCCGTTTGTAAGAATGAGGCCAAAAATCCAGTTTTTTCAAAGGTCAATTCAAATAAGTTTTGAAATGCCTATATATTACTCCCACAACCCACTAAGCAAACATAATCCCAGTATAATTTCTAGCATATAAAACATTTTGTTTTAGTGTAAGAATATTGTATTAGTCATGCAATAAATGAATAGAAATTGACCTTCACTTATGTACCATGTTAATACTATTTATTTATTTATTTATTTATTAATTAACAACATTTATATGCCGCCCTTCTCACCCTGAAGGGGACTCAGAGTGGCTTACAAGATATATATACATACAATATATTATATTATTAGCATAGTACAATATCAGTATTATATACTACTATGGTGTACTATACCATTGTATTGTAATATTATTAGTAATAGTATATGTAATATAAAATATATAATTATAATATCATATTATTAGTAGTGTTATATTGTATTACACTATAATAATATTATTAATATTATATGGATATAAAATATATTATATTTATATTTATATTATTAGCATAGCACAGGAGACAATACTAAATACTAAACACATTCTAAAATCTGGTATGTTCCACTAGTTTAGAATATAACCTACATGTGATCACTTTCAGCCAAAATCCTCTTCCCTAAAGATTGGGAGTAGGGGTGGGGATGAGATTTTGAGAGAGAGAGAGAGAGAGAGAGAACAGATGCCATGATCCCATGCAATCTAGTCCATTCCTGTATATCCATATACAATTGTTGTTTGGTCAAAGAACATTCAGAAGGCATTCAGCAATGCAATAAAAAGAGACATACTGCTCAAAATGTACTGTAAAAATAACCTAACATTATGCACTATAGACTAACTAATGCAATCTGTTTTTCCCAAATAAGCTGTATTAGTATAAAAAATAGCTCCATCTATTTATGATCACAAACCCATGCTATTAACCAATCTTCATTCTCCTTTGCCCTTCTGAATCATACTGGTTGTCATTAGCTCATTTTCTTTCAAAAGATGAAACAATTAGAGACAACTACAGGACTAACTAAATAAAAAAAATCTTGAGTCTGACATCTCAGCAAGATGTTGCAAGATGCTAAGTCCTCACCTACGCAATCCATTTTGTCCCACAAATATTTTTCTATAAAATTATGTCAAGGGGAAGGTATACTAAATTAGTATTATGTTCTTTTTTATTAAATAATATTATAATGCAGCTTAATACAGCTACAATACACATATAAAAACATGCACACATACACGTACATCAACAAACCACCACCTACATTGCAGTTACCCCTCATCTACCCCAGTGCTCTTTGGCTTCTGTCACTAATCCTCGTAGAGTTTATGTTAACTATCATGTTCTTGAGTTTTTGCTGCAGGTTGTCCACAAAGACACCAGAGAAATATTCTGAATTCTCTTAATAGAGCCATAGAGGGGGCACGAAGTATTTGGTTCTCTGGGTTAGTATGCTCTAATGTGTATGGCAGAAGTGAGCTCTCTAACTTTCATCATCATCATTATGCTTATTTATACCTTGCTTTTTCTCTCCACAAAGAGACTCAAAGAGGCTTACAATTTAAAATATACAAATATACAAGCAGCAAAACAGGATTAAATATAGCGATTATATTTTAAGAATCAGTTTACTTTGGGTAGTAGTGACGTCCAACAAGAATATATACAAATCTCAATCCAGAACATGATACTTCACCAAAATCAAGACAAAATACAGAATTTTAAAAAAAGTGCCACAGATATCAACTTAATGACTGATTTACTCAGATGTTTTTCAGGAAGATCAGAATAATAGATTTAGGCTTGTATCGCCAAAAAGTTAGTATGCATACTTTCACTGAGGAAAAGTTTCTAAATCTGAGATATCCTGAGAACCCAAGTTTTGAAGTGGGGAAGGATCTGATAAATAAAATAGAAGAGTTTCTCAAGAAATGTAAGCAACTAAACAGAAAAATATTGGGCTAGATCCAAACAAACAGAATTGCTTCCTGCAAGAGGAACCATTCTTTCCTTCTACTTCCACTGTGGAGATGATTTTTGTTGAATTCTAACTTTCTGAGCAGTCCCTGAGCAAATCAAAAATATTGTGGAAAATAATGCTGAGAGCTGGGAGTGGGGTTGTCTGTGGAAAAAAATATTTCCATGCCAGCTAGAAGAAGCAGAGTTTACTAAAAGGTTAAATGACAGGTAGAAATAAAGTATTCAATCTTCAACATTTTAGAAAAACAGGTTAGGTATGACACATGATTTTTTTAGTTAAAAAATTATCAAAACCTACATGTCTATGCTTTATAATTATTATTTCGTATGTTTTTGTGTCGGTAATTGTAATGTTTTACCTATGCAGGAAACCATCCTGAGGCCCCCTGGGGAGATAGAGCAGTATACAAATAAATGTTTGTTCCTATATTATAGGAGGAGGATAGAACAGTGGCTCACATTTTTTTCACTCAGAAAATTTGCATCAGCAAAAGAATGTATTAAATAATCCAAACTGTAGGAAATGCTCTTTTTTAACCATCTGTTATAATAGTCTCTTACACAGCAGGTGTCAAGAAATTAAGGCACTTTTCCGTAACTACAGAGACCCTTTAGCTCAGAAATCATTGCAATTAATTCCCATTTTGGAATATAAATCATAATTTGGCTGCAGTAAGATAATTAGTGTATTTGCATCTCCTCGACTATATTAAGATGATTGTTCACAAATCACATTCCTCCTCTCTTGTTGCACATATATGCAATTCAATAAAAGGAGCTAGCATTTTTCAAACAAAAGAACAGTTTCTTGAATTAAGGAAAAGAAGAAAAAATTGAAATTTTTACAATCCCCATTCCTTTTATAGCGGCTTTCTACAAAGTACACTGGAAATTATTGAAAGTACACCATATCAATGTTTTCATGTTCAATAGAAAAGCCACACATCTATCAATACAAAGCAGTTTTCGTAAAATAGATCCTCAACTATTCACAGAATTAACAGCTAATCAACATCTGACTGACTTGACAAAGCAGCACACACACACACATTTTCACCTATTACTAAACTCAGCAACCACTATTCCCAGCATTCTCCTTCTGTACTAGTGAGATTGTTAAAAGAAAGAAGGGGAAACATACAGCTAAGTAGATAACCTCCCCAGAATTCTTTCCCATTTTCCTAACTTGCCTGCAAAATTCACTTCTTTTCTTCAATGGAGGACACTTTCTAAAAATACATAAACATTGTACCGCAGATCTGAGAAAACTAGTTCGCAGAGGTAAAGCTGAACAATTGTATGTAATCCTCAAAATATACAACATAATCCTAGCTAATTTGCAAAAACAGATAAATCAGGTGCTTCAGGGAAAAGCGGTACCACCAGCAGTTTGAAATAACAAGGCTGGCAGTCCATGTCTCTGTAATTCCACGCATGGGGAGTCCGACACAGAATCTCTCTCTCCCCCTCTCCTTCCTTCCACTATATCTGTGCATTCCCAGCCTTATTCCCAGCTGTACCGGTAGACTAGGGAATGGGATGAAGGCTGAGGAACTGCGATGGGGGAGTATCTCCTCTGCATGAAAACCATCTCTTTAAATCAGTTCATTATAAAGATACTCTATGTTCTCCCTTGAAGAGAAAGTATTATGGATAGGGAAAAATATTAATGGAGAAACAGAGATTTGATCCATATCAGTAGAAACAGAATCCCCAGACCTACATTAAACTGTTGGAGGGGGGGGGCTTGATCACAGCACTTGCCCTCAGACACCAAAGCATCTTATGTTTCTTGAAATAGCTATCATCTAGCCCCAGCCAGTGTGTTCCCAATCACAGAACCAGATAGATATATTCTTAAAAAGTTGTTGGGAATAGGATTTTTCTCCTTTGGCTCATTCATAGTCCTCTCTACTGTAACAACCCACACTTTCAACCTCACCCCCCCCCCCCCCCCCCCCGCGCGCAGGCCATACTACATTCCAAATTTGCAATTTTCTTCTAAAACTCTGCTCCATCCAGAATAAAACAAGAAACATTTAGTATAAATAAAAAAATACTTCTATAGTCTATTAATCGGTATGAATTGTTATAAAATCTAAAAATCTCCCACTGTTAAAAAGGTACATTTTTGGAAGAAACCCACGTTTCCTCTATTTTTAACAATCCTGATCAAAGATTTTGTATACTACTAAGCACACTGTGTACATAGTACAGTATTCAACAAGCCAGATGGCAGCAGATACTTTATAAATTTGTGTTGCATGCAGTAAATGTTGTGAGTGTGGTTGCCAAGGTATTCTTCACATAACTAATTGCTATTGGGTTTTTTAAAAAAGAAAAATTGTGATGTCCTGAAATTCAAATATGGGCAGAAGCCACATGTGCTCTTGATTCTCAAGCTGTGTCTCCAAGAAAGAATATGATATAGTTTTAAAACTCTTATAAGCTGAGCAACCAGCACAAAGTGTGTGCGTGTGAGTACATCTCACCTCTATGAGATGCCTGTTAGCTATTCCAGTACTCTCCTCAAAAGTAGCATTCTACATTTACAATGGAATAGCATCCAATTACAAAAGAGAAAATTGAGGGGTGCACACAGAAGCCCACAAGAAGGCAGGGTGGATTTAACCTAATTCCTGTTCATTGAAAAATCACACCTCCTCTTAACAGCATATTGAGTGAACCTTCTGGTTACATTTTAGTGCAGCAGAACAGTAGAAGAGTGTCATTATGTAAATCAATCAGGTATTTCTTGCTCATCATCTCTAACACTCATGAATACTAAACTCTGTAAATGTGACATAATAGTAAAAACTTTTCTATCACATTTAAAAAGTTTAAGCATGAAGAACAAAAAACCCACAAATTCCTTATATAAAAAAATAATTTCCCTAGTTCCAAACACAAGGATGAGTAAAGTTGAAATGTGTGATGTCATTTCAATAGATTTTGGAATCTCCATTACCATTTTATGTCTAGAAAAACATCAAATTATCCCAGATAAAACAGAAGAATTTCTACACGTAAAACCCACAATATTTAAAATAGTGATCTTATTCTTGCATGTCTACACAACTGTCTTGCCTTAACGAAGCCACCATAAAGCAAGATTATACTGAATCTAGTACAAATCTAATGTTACAACTCGTTATATGCAAGTGGGTTACAACAGCAATTTTCATATATAACCAAGCATTTCTCGAGCGAGGATTAACATTCATTTAAAATTTCCACCACATCTCTAGAAGCAACAGTTTTTCAAAACCGTTTTTTATTTTCAGTCTCCATTTTCTCTCTTTGATATGTCTAAAGCAAGTTGTACAATTCCATTAGGGAAGTGTTCTCTTCCAAATACTTCTGATACCTTTCACGGTCAATAGACAAGATGGTTTTGTTGTGAAATACATACCTCTTAAAACTGCATTTCTTTTCAGAGTCTGCCATCCAGAAACCTTAAACGACAGAAAAAACAAACAATCTGAGAGTTAATACTACAACTGCCACAACAAATCTTAGTGAATTCAGTCTTTTAAGTAAATGTCTAAATACACATGTGGGGTGAGGCTGCCATTGGAATGATGTGTATTTTGCTAGAGTTAGAAAAGAAATGTTAGATATACTGAACCAATACAGTAACTGAACACAAATTTAGGAATCATTTTTCCCCAATTGTTTCTAGGGCAAGACTGGCTATGATCTGCCAGTTCCCTCTACAGCTATTCTATGAATTGTGTACTCTCTTTACACAAACATGGGACCTCCTGAAACCATGATATATATAGTTCTCAGCTCTTTCATACCTATTACTATTATTTTGCAACAACCAAGGTCCAAACCTCTTCCACTATTATAAACATTTAGAAAGTGTATCCATTTATTATATAGAACATGAACAAACAATTTTTGCACTGATGACAAAAAAGAGATTACCACGAAAGAAACTACTCCAGGTTTCCTTTAGCTATGCACTAACTCCTACAGTAAAGTATACTAATAATACAATATTTATATTCAGAATAGGTTCTAATGAAATACAAAATGGAAAACCTTCAGAATATTTTATTATCCTTTTAAATTAGAAAAAAATAGAATATTCTTCAACGTGACCAAGCTGAAATCTTCCCATCAACAACACTCTGAGTTGACCAGGACTGTGGTGCAGCCGGCTGGGAGTCAGCTGCATAAAGATCACTACTGACCAAAAGGCCATAAGTTCGAAGCCAGCCCGGGTCGGAGTGAGCTCCTGACCATTTGTGTAGCTTACTGTTGACCGTTGCAGCCCGAAAGACAGTTGCATCTATCAAGTAGGAAATTTAGGTACTGCTTATGCAGGGAGGCTAAATTAACTAATTTACGACACCATAAAATCTCCAGCAAGCAAGCAAAAGAATGAGGAAGTACTCTATCAGCATCAAAAATGGACGGTGAAGCAACAGCTCCCCTGATGGCCAGAATATCCTCATGAAGCTAGAATGTTAAATAGCCTCTGTGTCTAAATAATCTATATATGTTGTGTGTCTATGGCATTGAATGTCTGCCATGTATATGTATATTGTAATCCGCCCTGAGTCCCCTGCGGGATGAGAAGGGTGGAATATAAATACTAGGCCTGGGTAACAACGGAAAAATTTGTTTCTTTTTTTTTTATTAATATTTTATTGAGTTTGTCATATAAAAAAATGGATAAGACATATAAAGCATTACAATGAGAAGACACATATGAGTCATGTCATCCATATACAAATAACGTACAGACATGGAGTGCAGAAACAATAGACAAAGCAGACAAAGCAGACATGATGTGACAACACCTACACATAATGACCCCCACGAACCCTCGTCTCCTCCCCCCTCCTAACCCCTCCCCCTCCCCCCTTTAACATTAAAACCGACTTCCCCTCATTTCCATTCGTTGTTATATCATTTCATAATACTATATTTCTATTACATCTATATCATCCTCCATTTTCCAGACAATAGTAATTGGAAAAATTTGTTTCTAAAATTGATTCGTTTTTTTTGGGGGGGGGGGTTGCGTTTCGATATTTAAAAGAATTCCGAAATTTTTCTTTTAAAAAGTTCGATATTTACGAAATTTCGTAAATGCAAAAAAATTACGAAACATTAACGAAACAAATACGAAACAATAACGAATCGATTCGTTAATGGCGGACGCGACCGCGCAATACTCTAAAAAACCTCCAAATGGGACAGGGGGAACTTCTGAAGCTTCCCTCTCCCTCTGTTGTTGACTGTTGGTGTGATATTATAATTTTTTTTTCACTAATTAAACAAAAAACAACTATAAAACTTGCCCCAGACATGCGGAAATAATAACGAAACGACCTCAAACCGATAACGAAACGAATACATAACGAATCCGAAGCATTTACGAAACGAATTTAAAAATTCGTTTCGTTTTTAAGTTGCTCCAGAATGGTTCGTTATCGCTTCGTTATAAAAAAATAACGAATTTTTAACGAATTACGAATTAACAAAACGAAACCGCCCAGCCCTAATAAATACTGTAAATCAATAAATAAATAAGAAGTTTCAGTTTATCTTTTTGGGTCAGAAGTGGAATCAATTTTGTTACTGTTGTTTGTTTTCTAGTTGTTTACCGCCTAAATTCAATCCTAAGGCAAATCACTGGGTTTTCTCGGGCTTAGTATGACTCGCCTGAGGTCATTTCGTGGATTTCCATGGCTGAATGGGAAATCGAACCCTGATCTCCAGAATCTCAAACCATGATACCATACCAATGCCTTTACACATTTCTTCTGCAAACAGAAAAGCACTGCTGAATTGCCCCTATATTCACTCACTTAAACATTGGGTAATGTTTTGGTGTGTAACTGGACACATTTAGCGCAGTAAAAAAACCCAAATGTAAAACAGGAAATAGGTTTTTTGTACATTTAGCAATATGGGTTCTTATCAGGAATAAGGTGATTTTGTAAAACACATGGATGAGGAAAAGAAAAAAAAAACAGGGGCAAATTAATAATGACTGTTCTTCTTGTTGTTGTTGTTATTTATAGTATTTGCATCCCACTTTCTCTCTCTCAGGGAGACTCCAAATGACTGTTTGCATTCTGTCTTTATATATTTATATTAATAGCATATTACTGAAACAACCAAATAATTCTCCCATCTCTAACGAAAGAGAATATGTCCATGAAAGCATGTTTTGTGTTTCAGCTCCAACTTGTGTTGTGAAAGACATTCAACTATTTACAGAATTCTGGTTTACCACAGCTACAGTTTTGTTGGACTGCTATAAAGTACTGTTTTTCACCACTAGACAGTATAATGACATGTACCATGCCATACATTTTGTCACATCTGATTCAATCCACTGTGCCACCACATCAGAGGGACAGTGCCAATGCATTTTAGTCAATGTATCAGAGACAGTGTCTGTCTAGCTTTCTATAATGCCTGCAACAAGGTCATGCAAAATAATACATGGTGCTGAGCAGATCAGGGAAAATGGGCTTCTTTGTACTTGCCATCTGGCTTCTCATCCAGTAGGGTAGAAAACTTTTTTTAAAAATCACATCACACTTCCTTTTGTCCTTGAAACATACACATAAATATATACCACATGAATGGCTCAAACATTATGTATCACACATTTACACTCACCAAAAGAGATGAGAAAAACCAAATTATGTTGTACATATGTCAAACACTTGAAATAACAACAGAAAGTGGCAATCAAAATGACAAGGCCTGAAGCACTTTCCCCATGTGAAAAGGCTAAAAAAGTAGTCAAGGTTTTTCCAATGCTCATAAGTTTGTGTAACACAAATACATTTACAAAGATGAAGTTGTTACACTTATGTTTGAGCACTCTTTTTAAATAAACATTTTACGCTACTTGGCTAAATTCTAGTAACATTATTACCAAAATCGCTGTCAATCAATTAGTACCTACTCTAAAAGATAACTAGCTATCTGATACTCATCTTAGACGGTTTCATTTCTATTGTAATTCATGTTATACACTTGTTAAATATAAAAAATTTAAAATGTTTTAAGACTGAAGAGACAACTACAAGTGACAAATTAAGCATCGTTCATTCAAACACTCATTATTACATAATCATGTGTCATTTCTTTCACCTTCTCCCCAGCTTCATTTAGTGAACAGATGGTGCCAAGGGAATGAATCAGAGCTGTCTAGCTAATGAAGTTGTGCAGAGAAGTCCAACTTCATTCGCTGCTAAAGCTGCAAAGTCGACATGCAATGAGAGAGGAGAAACACAATACTCCAGTCCATTCTTGCCTCCGCCACAGCCTTCCCCATGCCACACTATACAAGCCACTGAACTTAATTTGACTGCTGACCTCAGCTTACATCTGTCACTTTTCAAAGGGAGAGAAGAAACAAGTTCACGGTTGATCTGAATTGAAATGATCGCAACAGTTATGAATCTAAAGATCTTTGATACTTCCTATGCTTCAAAGCTATAATGGGAAGAAACAGCCAGTGAGACAACATTTTGATTTTATTAAAATGGAATTACTATGTTTCTTGACAGACTGGGAGTAGGCTACACTCAAGATATGCAAACAGTATTGAAGAATTATAGAAGAGGTTACATTATCTGAAACATAATTGACTTATGATTTAAAAAACAGAGAAAGATGTATCAGTGGGAACCCCAATTCTAAATTCAAATGCAGAATCCGAATAACTTATTTAGCTGTTGTGATAGAAATGCCTGAGTTTCAGAAATAGGCTTCCACATCATTTATATAAATCAAACGGGATAGTCTGCCTCTTATGCTTTTTAGATCCTTCTTTTCCACTCAAACCTATTCTACATTCCTGATAAGGGACCTCCAGAGGTTTGTGCACTGGGCTACAACTCTAGAAACAAGGGTTCAAACCCTTGGCCATGAAACCTGACAGGTGACCTTGAGCAAGTCATACCCTCTCATCCTCGCAGGAAGGTAATGGCAAACCTCCTCTGAACCAATCTTGATAAGCTCGCCCTGGGACTATTATAGGTAGGAAACAACTCAAAGATATACAGTAACAATAAGTGGCCTCCACCACCAAGATGCATCACCACCAATACAGTAAAGGTAGAGAAGAAAGGCAGCACAATGCTGAAAAGCAATGACAGTCCTTGCACTGCAACATGAAAACTATTTTGAAAATCTAAGTCAATTCGGCTTTCTAAAATTACCAGGTCTATTTTTGAAATATAATTTTCATCACTCAAAGTGTCCTACTTACACTCCAAAAAAATCCCAAAAGGGTAATTAGACAAACATGAAGTTCACAGAGCCATCACACAACAACAAAAGTAGCCATAGAAGAGAAAATGTTAAATGGATTTTAAAAAGGGGAAAAAAGTGTCTACAGGAAATGACCTTAAACTATTTGTAAACCTTTATTTAGACTTCTAGTAACAGGAGACGGAATGCACACATACCT